TACACAGTCACGCACCACACTACACAGTAGCGCACCACACTACACAGTAACGCACCACACTACACAGTAATGCACCACACTACACAGTAATGCACCACACTACACTGTAACGCATCACACTACACAGTAGCACACCACACTACACAGTAACGCACCACACTACATGGTAACGCACCAAACTACATGGTAATGCACCACACTACACAGTAATGCACCACACTACACAGTAGCGCACCAAACTACACAGTAATGCACCACACTACACTGTAACGCATCACACTACACAGTAGTGCAACACACTACACAGTAACGCACCACACTACATGGTAACGCACCAAACTACACAGTAATGCACCACACTACACAGTAATGCACCACACTACACAGTAATGCACCACACTACACAGTAACGCATCACACTACACAGTAGCGCACCACACTACACAGTAACGCACCACACTACACAGTAACGCACCACACTACACAGTAATGCACCACACTACACAGTAATGCACCACACTACACAGTAATGCACCACACTACACAGTAACGCACCACACTACACAGTAATGCACCACACTACACGGTAATGCACCACACTACACAGTAATGCACCACACTACACAGTAATGCACCTCACTATACTGTAATGCACCACACTACACAGTAACGCACCACACTACACAGTAATATGCCACACTACACAGTAACGCACCACACTACACAGTAACGCACCACACTACACAGTTACGTACCACACTACACAGTAATGCACCACACTACACAGTAACACACCACACTACACAGTAATATGCCACACTACACAGTAACGCACCACACTACACAGTTACGCACCACACTACACAGTAACGTACCACACTACACAGTAACGCACCACACTACACAGTAACACACCACACTACACAGTAATATGCCACACTACACAGTAACGCACCACACTACACAGTAGCGCACCACACTACACAGTAACGCACCACACTACACAGTAACGCACCACACTACATAGTTACGCACCATATTACACAGTAATGCACTACACTACATGGTAACGCACCAAACTACATGGTAATGCACCACACTACACAGTAACACACCACACTACACAGTAATATGCCACACTACACAGTAACGCACCACACTACACAGTAGCGCACCACACTACAGAGTAACGCACCACACTACATGGTAATGCACCACACTACACAGTAGCGCACCACACTACACAGTAACGCACCACACTACATGGTAATGTGCCACACTACACAGTAACGCACCACACTACATGGTAATGTGCCACACTACACAGTAATTACGCACCACACTACATGGTAATGTGCCACACTACACAGTAACACACCACACTACATGGTAATGTGCCACACTACACAGTAACGCACCACACTACACAGTAACGCACCAAACTACACAGTAATGCACTATACTACACAGTAACGCACCACAGTACACAATAACGCACCACAGTACATAGTAATGCACCACACTACACAGTAATGCACCACACTACACAGTAATGCACCACATTACACAGTAACACACCAAACTACACAATAACGCACCACACTACACAGTAACGTACCACAATACACAATAACGCACCAAACTACACAGTAACGCACCAAACTACACAATAACGCACCACAGTACACAATAACGCACCAGACTACACAGTAACACAACACTACACAGTAATGCACCAAACTACACAATAACGCACCACACTACACAGTAACACACCACACTACACAGTAACGCACCAAACTACACAATTACGCCCCACACTACACAGTAACGCACCACACTAGGGATCGAGGGGAGTCGACGGAGAGTCGACGGAGAGAGGGGGAGACTAAACCGTTTATCATTCCTAAACAGTGTTTAGCCGGTGCATGGAATCACTTTTGGCCTTCGTTTATGAGGACGGGCTGCCCTACTCGCAGGTGTTGGACTATAGTTCCAGCCCTCACTAGTTGAGCAGGTAACGAGTTACCTTTTCACCATCAACCTCCACCTCAGTCACATGCTAAACTTTTTTAGACTCTTAATTTAGCGTCTCTGCCTCTGTAACCCTTTCCACTACCGCCCACATGGTGGGTATGGGGTGCATAATAAATGAATGAAATGTCATTCATACGTTTCAAATGAGTTAGTGTCTTTAAAATTTTACGGCGATTTTGCGCGTGACTAATGATGCCAGCATTATAACCCACATTCTGTACCTTGTCAGCCAGACTTTGCGCAAGATGGTGTCATGTGCCCCCTGCATAAGCAATCAATTTTCATCGTTACTAATGTGGTTATCCTCGGCATCCAGAGGACAACCAACAACTTGTTACATCGTCACCTTACCAGGCTCAAGACCATCGTCAGCAGCGCAGCTCAGGACAGGTGCAGGTTTTGTCATGTTTTTCCACGTTGTAACCCCTTTTAAAAATAACGCCGTTTTTCGCTCGTATAAGCTCTATGGCCAAAAATGGTCCTAATTTGAAATGAAATCGGCTCACGAAAGTGATCTACTGTCCCGTTTTCTGTTTGAGTCGTGTGGCTTACCGGGATTCGTTAGGAGAGAGGAAACTTTCAATTAACGTTTTTCATGGTGTTTTGAAACTTTACGAGAATTTCCTGCCCTCCTAACCTACCAGAGGACCTTTAACTTACTATTTTGGAAAAAAAAATCCAAAATTTATTTTCAATTTTGTTTCATTTTCAAATTACGTTTATTTTCGGCCATACATGCAAACGGCCACATTCAGACTTGATTTGTATGAAGACAGGTTGTTCTATCGGGCGCATCTGATCCCTCGATCGTCGTCGCCCCCTCAATCAACAATTACCTTTGATTTACTCCATGTCGACGCGGTGGAGTAAGTGACATTCCTACACATATTACGGCGGAAGGTACGTTGGACTAAAATTAAATTGTCATATTGCTTGTGACCTTGTGTGCACAGCGATCATTGATGTGTTACAGATCAAGCTGGAGGACTTGGTTGGCTTTCCTATGCTTCAAAGCAACAGGTTGGCGGTGAATTTGGTGAAAACAGTGGGACATTTTCGAAGTTGCTGACGAAATATGATGATGACTGTCAGTTTGCATAATGGAAAAAGTTCATTGCAAGTGTTTGTCTGTGCAAGTCGTCTTCGTATGTTGCTGAGACGGATGCACTCTTTGAAATGATGAATGGAACTATTGCTAAAATACTTGCACACTAAAAAAAATTCAGTGTATGTACAAAAACTTGTATGTACTTTTACCTGAATAAACATTTATTATTATTATTATTATTATTATTATTATTATTATTATTATTATTATTATTATTATTATTATTATTATTATTATTATTATTATAACAACCCGTCCTCGACTCAAGTCCATTACATCCAGCCGTCGACCCCACAGATGCATTTGTAAATTTGTACATGCTGTTCATTCAAACCGGGAATTTTCTCAAATATAAATTACTATTATAATATATTAGCATATTGTGCATATATAGGCATAGGTTAGATTAGATGTTTAGGTTCTGTTGGCGAATATTTGTATTTGTAGTACGTGGGTAAAGCATTTACAGCGTTGTGATTCGAACAGAATTCGTGAGTGAAGCATTTGTTCCGGAAGCGTTCGAACGTCAACAGTTCGAACGTGTGTAAGCCGTTTTTCATTCATAAACTGGGGTTTGGCGGGTACAAGGAATCACTTTTGGGTCTTTGTTTGGAAGACGGCCTGTATTATAATCAGAGATTGTCCCCCCTAAAGCGTCACACATTGAGGTCGGTGATGCAGTACCTGGTGGTGCAGTACCCGGCGGTACAGTACCCGGCGGTGCAGTACCCGGCGGTGCAGTACCCGGCGGTGCGGGTGACAACCCACAACTGTTAGTGAAACGACTCGGGCAGCGTCTCCCAGCACGAGTGATGGAGTATAGCGCAGGTAATGCAGTTCATGACGGTATTAGTGAGACAGCCCAGGTAGGTGGCGGTGAAAATGTTAATGATACTGCCAGAGGCAGTCCGTCCCTGTGAAGGTGTTCAAGACCAGACCCTACAGCTAAACAAATTAAAATAAAGATTAAAACAGCAACAACAACAAGCATAATCACCGAAATCAAACATACAATCAGGTCCCTACAACACCGCTATCCAGGTATACTGGCAGTACACCCATGTAAACTCCACATCACCAAGCCTCCGGCGAAGCAGCACAACCAGGCGGGGCCACCAAAGATAAATAATTAAATGACAACAAATAAAACACCACCAAACATGCGAGCATAGCGTATGGTACCACCTCATTTACACTAGAACGCTCACCACACAACAGCTCTCACCACGCTATGAAACCCACCAACATAGCCAGAGTGGTTGAGGAAGATTAAGCCACCCAAAAGGTGGCACGGGCATGAATAGCCCGTATGTGGTGGCCCTTTTGAACCATTACCAGTATCAATAGATGATACTGGAGATCTGTGGAGGTGTGACTGCACCCTGCGTGACGGGAGATGTCTTCCGTGAAAAAAAAGGCCAGAGTGGTTGGGCTATTACCTTTATTTACACTATACCTTATCCCAGTACTTTTTCAAGATATTCCATATCCTAATTCTATCCCTTCTAACCCCTTGCTCACCACCAGCCAGCTCTGTGGTCATCCGACCTTATTCAACAAAGACGGTGGGGTACATATCCTTTCACTACAGATACCTCTGCTAACCTGTGCATTAAATAGGTACTCGAGAGTTAGTCACTTGTGGGGTTGTATCCTGGACGGTTAGTTGTTGGCCAAATACAGTTGGCTGATAGTTCGAAGTACAGGAACTTCGGGGGGTTCCCCGGGGTCGAAATCTCGACCCCGGGGAACCTACATACTGTACATACAGAAGACTACATACTGTATTCTGGACTATATAGAAGACTCAGTGAGCTATATAACAAATCGAACACAAACTGGAATGTTTACTCACAAAAATTGACTGGTAGATCTGGCCGAAGAATATGATGGGAGCCCTCAAGTTGATCTCTGGAGAGGATATGTCGTCCTCGGCAGCCAAGCGGGTGTCCCCGGCGTCCTTTCCATAGCGGTAGAGGTAAGACTTGTGGACCGCGTGTGAGGGCGACCATCGCTCCACAACCACCAGGAGGACTATGAACTTAAGAAGGGGACCGAATCGCCCCATCCTGTTTTTCTGTTGACGCGAAGTGTAAAAAAATAATAGTCTCTTTCAAGTGCCAAAAGTCCTTCAAGGAGTCCTGTTTCGATCGCATAAAGAATCAAATAAGTACGTCAAAAGCCTTGGACTGTATTAGTTGGGGGTGTCAATATTCTCCCAATGGCGGCAACCAGTGGTAGCCTCGTGCTTGGTGGCGACTCGAATAGAGTCTGTGACTCCCACGCTGAGTGCCTCGCTGCTAGGGAGGTTCAAAGCGAGTCACGGCGCCACTGTTCACTGCTCTGACCCCCCTCTACCCACTTATCTCCTTACTTAAACAAGTGGAACATACCCAGGTACCCACACAATCACCCCTCCACTCAATACAATGAAATCTCAATCTTATCTGCGGCGTTGACCTCCAAGATATTATTAAATAATTATTTTTCACTTTCGTAACTTCACATAACCGCACAAAATAATATAGTGCCCTTTGACCCTTAACTGGGCTACATGATAAAAGTGAATAGGGGACAGAGCCTTTAATGTGTCTAGGTGAAAGTGACTCGGTGGCGACGTCCGGGTGAAAATGACTCAGCTACGGCCGGGTGAAAATTACGTACAATATTTTTATGATTAATAATTAGTGCTAGGAGCTGAGTGACTGTGAAGTGATACCTCGTGACGGTGAACGAGTGTTACCACGCGACTGTGAATGTTGAACGAGTGTAAACACGTGACGGTGAATGTAAACAACTAAGGAAGGTGACAATGTCATGAGTAAACACTAGGCTAATGACAGTGTGTATGATGACAATGAGACAGTGGTGCTAATAGTGATTACGACAGAGGTGAGCAAATAACGGTAATGGTGAGAGGACAGGGGCCAACGTGAGCGAACAGTGACGGCGACAGTGAGGGGGGGGGGGAAGTGACGGGGGTACAGTGAAGGAATCATTGACACACTTGTGTGTGTGTGTAGGGTCCGACTGGCCTGGCCGTCACGCTGATAACCCGAGATAAGATGAGCAGATGACCGCTTGTGTAATCCTACCTCCCCTCCCCTCCCCAGCACCCCTCCCCCCGAAGGAATGGTGTGTAGTGTGGAGAGTGTGGGTGTAGTGTGGAGAGTGTGGGTGTAGTGTGGAGAGTGTGGGTGTAGTGTGGAGTGTGTGGGTGTAGTGTGGAGAGTGTGGGTGTAGTGTGGAGAGTGTGGGTGTAGTGTGGGTGTAGTGTGGAGTGTGTGGGGTGTAGTGTGGAGTGTGGGTGTAGTGTGGAGAGTGTGGGTGTAGTGTGGAGAGTGTGGGTGTAGAGTGTGTGTGGAGAGTGTGGGTGTAGTGTGGTGTGGGGTGTAGAGTGTGTGGGTGTAGTGTGTAGTGTGGAGAGTGTGGAGAGTGTGGGTGTAGTGTGGAGAGTGTGGGTGTAGTGTGGAGAGTGTGGGTGTAGTGTGGAGAGTGTGGGTGTAGTGTGGAGTGTGTGGGTGTAGTGTGGAGTGTGTGGGTGTAGTGTGGAGAGTGTGGGTGTAGTGTGGAGAGTGTGGGTGTAGTGTGGAGAGTGTGGGTGTAGTGTGGAGAGTGTGGGTGGAGAGTGTGGGTGTAGTGTGGAGAGTGTGGGTGTAGTGTGGAGAGTGTGGGTGTAGTGTGGAGAGTGTGGGTGTAGTGTGGAGAGTGTGGGTGTAGTGTGGAGAGTGTGGGTGTAGTGTGGAGAGTGTGGGTGTAGTGTGGAGAGTGTGGGTGTAGTGTGGAGAGTGTGGGTGTAGTGTGGGTGTAGTGTGGAGAGTGTGGGTGTAGTGTGGAGAGTGTGGGTGTGTGTGGAGAGTGTGGTGTGTGTGGGTAGTGTGGAGTGTGGGGTGTAGAGTGTGGGTGTAGTGTGGAGAGTGTGGGTGTAGTGTGGAGAGTGTGGGTGTAGTGTGGAGAGTGTGGGTGTAGTGTGGGTGTGGGGTGTAGTGTGGAGAGTGTGGGTGTAGTGTGGAGTGTGGGTGTAGTGTGGAGAGTGTGGGTGTAGTGTGGAGAGTGTGGGTGTGTGGAGTGTGGAGAGTGTGGGTGTGGGTGTGTGGAGTGTGGAGAGTGTGGGTGTAGTGTGGAGAGTGGAGAGTGTGTAGTGTGGAGAGTGTGGGTGTAGTGTGAAGAGTGTGGGTGTAGTGTGGAGAGTGTGGGTGTAGTGTGGAGAGTGTGGGTGTAGTGTGGAGAGTGTGGGTGTAGTGTGGAGAGTGTGGGTGTAGTGTCTGGGGAGGTTCAGTGCTCCCTCGCGCCATTCCATCAATCTGTGAAGGCACGGAGACCAGGTGGCGCTGTAGGGGTAAGTGAAGACTGCCGGTGCCACCCACACGTGTACACAGTGCCACCCACACGTGTACACAGTGCCACCCACACGTGTACACAGTGCCACCCACACGTGTACACAGTGCCACCCACACGTGTACACAGTGCCACCCACACGTGTACACAGTGCCACCCACACGTGTACACAGTGCCACCCACACGTGTACACAGTACACGTAATACACATAATATAGCATATAACATATTACATATAATATGTACACATAATAAGGGCAGCAGATGCAAGGAAAAGGCACAAGGAGAGGGAAGGGAACCTCAGCCTCCAACAAAGCTATCCCAGAGGGGAGTGGGGAACTCCAATCTAGCAATTCAGGAACCCCAGAGGGGACTGTAACACCTCAACCCACCACTCCATTGCCCCCACCCACCCCTAGCGCATATCCTTCCTTGCCCCTGCACAATGTCCACCATATCACCCAAATTCTCCCTCCCCCCCTTACCCCGAGTATCCCTTGCCTTCCCATCCCCTGGTCTTCTTCCTGCCCCAAGCAAGCCATGGCAAGACCTAAACCCTCCATCCCGCCTCCCCCAAACCCCTGTTAACTACACCACAGGAGGGCGTGCCCTCACCCCAAGCAATCCCTGCCCCCCCCCAGGACTCCTTCTTGTCCCAAGCAGGCCTGGGCAAGACCTAAGCCCTCCATCCCCCACCCCACCTTGCCCTGAACCCCTGGCAACTACCCCACAGGAGGATGAGCCTATCCAAATAGCAATGCCCCTGGAACAACTTCCTACACTTGTACGGAGGGAGGGTGAAAATGAATATAGGAAAGTGAGCTTCAAGGTAATGTACTCAAACATCAATGGAATTACCAATAAAGCAAGTGAACTGGCGGAAAGGGCACAAGAAGAAAACCCTGATGTAATAGGACTCACGGAAACAAAATTATCACGAGTCATAATAGATGTTGTGTTTCCAAAGGACTACTATATAGGAAGGAAAGAGAGGGAAGGGAGAGGAGGTGGAGGAGTGGTTCTGCTGATAAGGAAGGAGTTTTTATGAGATGGAAATTCTGGGCTGTGACGGATTCAGAGATTACATAACAGGAACTATAACAATGGGTGGACCTAAGATAATAGTGGCAGTCATTTACAACCCTCCACTAAATGACAGAAGACCCAGAGAGGAGTTTGATGGCAACCACAACATGGCAATCAATAATATAATAGAGAGAGCAGCTTCAATTGCCCGCAGGAATGGCTCCAGACTCTTAATCATAGGCGATTTTAACCATGGAAAGATAGACTGAGAGAATGGGGACCCACATGGAGGTGAAGATACATTGAGAGCTAAACTCTTGGAAGTGGCAACAAGGAACTTTCTGAGCCAACATGTCAGGGAACCCACTAGAATGAGAGACAATGACCAATTAGCTAGACTCAACTTGATATTCACCTTGAATGAGTCAGGAATAAGGGAAGTCAAATTTGAAGTCCCCATAAGAATGACTGACCACAGTGTATTGACATTAGAGTATCTGGTGGAGGTAGGAATAACCTATCCAAGGATGGGATCGGAAGGGAAAAAAATGAATTACCGAAGAGGAAAATATGACGAGATGAGGACCTTCCTAATGGGAATACCATGGGAAACAGAACTCAGAGAGAAGACTGTACAGGATATGATGGACTATGTCACCCAGGAGTGCCAGGAAGCTGCAGGTAGGTTTATGGCAGTCCAAAACGAAAAGCAACAGAAGAATCCATGGTTCAACCAGGAATGTAAGGTAGCAAAGCAATTGAGTGAAAGAACATGGAGAAACTACAGGAATAACAGAACACCAGAGAGCAGAGAGAGATACCAGAGGGCAAAAAATGAGTACCTCAGAGTGAGGAGAGAAGCAGAGAGACAGTATGAAAAGACATCGCGAATTAAGCTAAGACCCAACCAAAACTGCTCCACAACCACATCAGGAGGAAAACAGTGGTGAAGGAACAAGTGATGAAACTGAGAAAGGGGGAGAATAGATACACAGAGAATGGCAGGGAGGTGTGTGAAGAACTCAACAAGATATTCCAGGAGGTCTTCACAAAAGAACAAGGAGAAGACCCTGCACTAAATGAGGAAGAGGTAAACCAAGCAACCTTGGAGGAATTTGACCTCACCAGTCATGAGGTCAAAAGGAATCTGTTGGAGCTGAATGTGACAAAGGATGTTGGGCCTGACAGACTCTCACCGTGGATATTAAAAGAAGGTGCAGTAGCACTAAGCGTTCCACTCTCTATGGTGTATAACAGGTCACTGGAAACAGTAGACCTACCGGAAAGCTGAAAAACAGCTAATGTAGTCCCAATATACAAAAAGGGTGACAGGCAAGAGGCACTGAATTACAGACCAGTTTTCCTAACTTGTATACCCATGCAAGGTGATGGAGATCATGAGGAAAAGGTTCATAGAGCATCTGGAGGGAAATAACTTTATAACACGACACCAGCATGGGTTCAGAGATAGTAAATCGTTCCTTACAGGTTTAATAGTTAAATAAATAGTTAATTAAATTTCTATGACCAAGCAAGAAAAATTAGACAAGAAAGAGAAGGGTGGGCAGACTGCATTTTCTTGGACTGTCAGAAAGCTTTTGACACAGTACCCCATAAAAGGCTGTTACAAAAGTTGGAGCAACAGGCAAGAGTAAAAGGTTAGGTGCTCCAGTGGATAAGGGAGAATCTAAACAACAGGAAACAGCGAGTAATTGTGAGGGGGAAACATCAGAGTGGCGAGATGTCACCAGCGGAGTCCCACAGGGCTCTGTACTTGGACCGATCCTGTTTCTAATATATGTAAACGATCTTCCAGAGAGTATATACTAATTTCTCTCAATGTTTGCTGATGATGCAAAAATTATGAGAAAAATCAAGGCAGATGAAGATAGACAGAGACTACAGGATGACCTGGACAAACTGGAGGTCATCCTGTAGTCAAACAAATGATCTAGAAAATGGCTACTAAAGTTCAACTCAGGAAAGTGTAAGGTAATGAAATTAGGCGA